CATATATATTCAAGATTCCTTAAATCCCCTCCCCAGTGGTGGTGAAAACATGGTCACGTTTGAGTTTTGAAGAAAGATCCAGATGGGCAGAGAACTGAGAGAAGAACCTGAACTGAGATAAGAGGGAAAGGAGCGCCCTCTCGTGTCAGCTCTCTGTTGATGCCAGTGAATAAAGAAGTCAGCTGAGAACGCACATTTCCGATCTTCCGATGACGTTCCAACAACAGTGTTATCATCGAAGGCCAATCGCGTGCCCACTGCCTACAAGAAAATGTGGAAATATTAACTGAGTGGACTGTGATCCCTTGAAGAATCCCCATCACATTTCCGATCTTCCGATGACATTCCAACAACAGTGTTATCATCGAAGGCCAATCGCGTGCCCGCTGCCTACAAGAAAATGTGGAAATATTAACTGAGTGGACTGTGATCCCTTGAAGAATCCCCATTCTAGAGAGGGAATAAGATACATGCAGAAATAACTGTAGTAGAAGACAGAGCAAAGTGGACAGAGTACTTTGTGAATACAGAAGGGTCAAGACTTTGAAGGAGAGAGAAGTCAAGATTTACATCAAAATGTAAACCTGGCTGGTTAGAAAGGAGCTCGAGATGGCCCTGGGGTTTCTTTTACAGCCCCAGCCCCAGCTGGTCAGGACCTGGGAGGGCCAGCTTCTATGCGAAGGAGAGAGAAGTCAAGATTTACATCAAAATGTAAACCTGGCTGGTTAGAAAGGAGCTCGAGATGGCTCTGGGGTTTCTTTTACAGCCCCAGCCCCAGCTGGTCAGGACCTGGGAGGGCCAGCTTCTATGTGAGGACCACACAGGTCTAGCTGTCAGATCCCAGAGCCCTTTCTAGGTTTAGACAAGCTCTGTGTGTTCTTCGTCTCCCTCCATTCCCCGAGAATTTTTCTGCTTTACTTTCTTCTGTGTAGTGTCCTTCCCATAGCGATCTATCTCTTAAATTTCGTCTCCTGACACCCCTCTCCCCTACACTGCCTGTTGTCAGGGAGTCTGTCTCCATAGCTGCCCCTGGTCCTGATGCATTATGAAGGTCCTCTGTCTTTAGGTTTTTGCAAATATAATCAGTGTAGGGACAAGTTACAAAGGATTAAGACACTCTCTTGCAATCTCTGTTCCCAAAAGCAGCCGTCAGCTGGTCTAAGTCTCTTAGAGCCCTGAGGGGGTGACACTACCCCTCCCTTTGTCTGCATCTTTCTCTGCTCTAGTGGCACCGATCTCTTTCTAGGAAGACCCTCTTCTCAGCACAAATGCTGAATGAAGATGCACGGCAGTAGGTGTGGAAACATATCCCACCAGGTAGAAACTAGTGTTCACTGGGGAAGCTGCAAGGTGGTCACAGCGGATCTTTGGAGTCAAACACATCTGGGTTTAAACCCCAGCCCTGCTTCTTCATAGTGTGGCCACCTTCGACACATTCCTTTATCCCGAATTCTGCATCTGTAAAAGAAGGATAACGATATCTACCTGCCTGTCTCATAGGATTCTTGTGAAGATGAAATAAGATGGACTATAAGAAGAGCTTAGGAAATAGCTAGTTTAATAAATACCTGTCTCCTTCTCCTCATTCCCCAAACCTCCTTCTTATCTGGAAGTTCCTGCAAGTTTCGTGGCTGTGCCTGAGACTTCTAAGTCAGCTGTACAACAACTGAGATTACTTTTAAATTAATCACTTTTAAGTTAGGTTAAGGCAAGAGCTATATGGGAGACAGAAGAACGGCTGCTCTGTTTGGGTTCTGGTGTAGGGTGATCTGGGGAAGGTATTTCCAAACCATCTTGATTACTTCCCAAGACTTTTTCCAGTTTCCCAAGCCAGAAATCTGGGAGTCACTCTTGGTTTCTCCTTCTCTCTTGCTGCTCACATCTAAATTTGTAACTTTTGCTATCACTCCTGAAGATATTCCACACTGCCCTAGTTCTGTCCGTCCCCTCCACTGCTTTAGTTAAGTCACCACTGTCTCTTCCCTGGAAAACTGCAACAGCTTCCTAACTGGTCCTTGATAGTGAAGTGTTGTCCCCCTTCTTAATTATCAAGGAAACCAGAGTTCTTTCTAGATGCAACTCTTAGCAAGTTCCTCTCCTATTTAAAATCCTTTATTGGTTGCTCAACTACTGTCAGGATAAAGTCTTAACTCCTGCGCATGCATAACTTCCTGCTCAGGTCCCTGACTCCAGCTTGTTCTCTCATCGACCCTGCGCACACCAACCCCCACTGCTCCAGCTGCACTGGACTATTTAGAGTCCCAAGAAAAACTCACAGTGACTGGGGGGTTTCCTGGACGGGGGTCTTTCAGTGCTAAAACCAGGACAGCCCTGAGCAAACCAGGTGGTTGGTCATGCAGGGTTGCCCTTGGGTGTCTGCCTATCTTATTTCTCTGACTCCTCTCTCTGGAATGTCCCCCCTGTGTGCCCCATCTCCTATTTACTACTAAATACTACTCATCCCGGGCTTCTGCTTGGATGTCACTTCTGCAGCTCTCCATGGGTGGTTCATTAGTCCCTGCTGCGCTCTCACAGCTGGCGCTCCTTGCAGTGGGCGCTGCACAGTGATGACTGTGCTGTCTCCCTCCCAGGCACGGTAAGCTCGCTGAAAGCATGAACAGTGTTTTCTTATACCTATATTCCCAGAGCCCAGCTTAGAGCCTAGCACGTGGGAGGTGTTCAGTAAAGTTTTGCTGACTTTGTGAATATCAATGCCAGTTCATCTTTATCAATTGTTGTCTAGTTCATATCACGGCAGGAGACAGGCCTTGTCCATGTCACTATGTTGTGACCTACAGAGAAGTAAGGGTCCCACAGGGAACCATCCGGAGGTACAGATCTACTCCAGTGTGGTCACAAAAGTATTTCCCATCCCATGTGTTCTTCCAGAACCTTGTAGCTCTCCCAAATATGTGTCCCCTCAGCTTGAAATTGGTCAAGGCTCTCTGGCCAACTGCAGATGGTGGAAGTGACACTATGAGACGTCCAAGGCTAGGACATCAAAGATGATTCGGATTCCACTTACTTGCCCCCATGCTGTGAGAAACCCAAGCCACATGAGGGGGAACAGAGGCCCTGGCCCCCAGCCCTGGCTGAGTGCCCAGTATGACCAGCACCAACTTTCCATGCCATCTCCAAAGTGGATCCTCCACTCTCTGCTGGAGGGTCAGAGATGATCTCTGTCTCCACAGAGCCCTGCCCAAAGTGCAGATTCACAGGGAAAATAACTAAGGCTGTTGCAAGTAAGTTTGGGGTGCTTTGTTTCACAGGAAGAAAGAACTCAAACACAGCTTAAGACAAGATACAGCCACTTGCTGGTAGTCGATGAGCCCTTCCTTCTCTGGATATGTTCTTGCCCCAGAAGATCCTGGTTTATTCCAGAAGGGGCTGTGCACAGACTACAGTCTGGCCCATTCAAACATGTGCCCACAATGTTGAAGAGCTCTTGACCTAATCCAAGGATGCACTGGGACAAAGAGGAACAGATACGTGGAGCGGCAGGCCACCCCAGCATACACAGCTGCTCCTGGCACCTCGGGGCTGACCATGAGGGCTCGGGCTCCAGGAAGAGGACACCATTTCTGATAGCCATCGGCTTCTGGGACAAAGAGGAACAGATACGTGGAGCGGCAGGCCACCCCAGCATACACAGCTGCTCCTGGCACCTTGGGGCTGACCATGAGGGCTCGGGCTCCAGGAAGAGGACACCATTTCTGATAGCCATCGGCTTTGCCCACGGGAAGAACACAAGGCCTCAACACAGGGTGACATGTTGGCTTCACCCTGGGTGGTGCCAATGAACCAACTGTAAGTTGGTCGTGTTTTGTCCCCACCCATCATTTGGGTATCCAAACCACTCTGTCCTGGGCTGTCTTCCCAGGCCACCATTTTAACCACTCAGAAGAATATACACTACAGCCTGGCAAACACACACTTTTCTATCATTCTGCTTTACCTAGATAAGTAAGTATCCTAGAATGGCAACTTGTAGGACATTGAGATGGTTACACGGGTAGGTGGTTTAGCTTTGAACGTATGACTAATGTTTTGGCAGCTGAGTGACATTTTCTGTTTTGTAATAACGCTTTAAAGCCCATTAACACTGCTCAAGCAGCACTCGGAATTCTTCCTCTGGAAATGCAGACCCTTCCTCCATTGAGCTGGCCCTTCGCTGTTGTCCCACTCACACCCTGGCCCTCCCCACCCAGACCCGCCAGCCACACAGTCAGCTCTGCTCTGCCTCGGGAGGCTGGTGTCCAAGAGCTGCCACCTCCAGGCCTCTTTGCTCCAACTTCCAGATGGGTTTGTCCAAAGGAGGCGCAGGTGGGAGTGTGGGAAGGTGGGGAGGGAGGGGCTGGGTCTGCTCCCTCTTCCTCCCTGCCAGGCCTTGGCCAGGACAGTGACATGTGCCTTTGCCATGTGGCATGCACGCAGCAGCTGCAGCTGTCACTGGGTTCCAGGCACTCCACTTTCTCTCTCCTTTGCCTCTTCAGCCCAAGGGATGGTAAAGGTCTCTGCTGTTACTGCCTCCCGTACACTTTGCCACCCCTTCTCGGTTTTCTTAACAAGCCCACAGTGTGTGCTATGGGCCTAATTGGGTCTCCCACAAATTCATATGCTGAAGTCCCAACACCCAGTATCTCAGAATGTGACTGTATTTGATGACTGGGCCTTTAAAGAGGTAATTAAGGTTATGTGAGGTCATTAGGGTGGGCCCTAATCCAATATGACAAACGTCCTTATAAGAAGAAATTAGGACTCAGACATGCACAGAGGGATGACTGTGTGAGGACATGGGCAGGAGGCGCCATCTACAAGCCAAGGGGAGAGGCCTCAGGAGAAGCCAACCCCGTTACACTTTGATCGTGGATTTCCAGCCCCCAGAACTGTGAGGAGATGAATTTCTGTTGTTGAAGCCACTGGGTGTGTGGCACAGCCCTAGCAGACTAAGACACCGTGGTACTGACCCCTTCAGTAAACTGCTCAGGTAGCCCAGGGAGTGTGTTGTCTGGGTCCTCTGGGACCCTGCCAGTATTTCCAACGGTGCCACCACAGATCCCATCAACCCCACTATATCTGTCATCATGTTTCTAAGTCTGTACATTTTTCAACATTTATGCCATGAATTTCTTTTGCTGAACTTCTGTAGGACTCACTTTCACAGTCAGGTACTGAAACTGAAAGGGTTTCTAACAGAGGAGCCAAGGAAAACCCAGCTCTCCAACGTGTAGCGCATCTCGTCATTTCGATGAAGGTCCTTTCATATTCTTAAATCAGCTTCGGCTCTGGAGCCTGGATAGTAACGACTGAGGCCCGGGCAGTGAATCGTGGTTGCGGCATCGGGGGCTGGGAGTCCTGCTGACTGCAGAGAAGGCCAGGCGAGGCGAGCTGGCACTTTGAGAGGGGAGCTGGGACTCAGGGACATCTAGGGAGGGAAAAGGTACCATCAGAGTGAGAGTTATTAAAACATCGAAGGAAGCTTTCTAATTAAACTTATTTTAATGATATAAAACAATTTTACAAGATCATAGGGCTGGATAGGATTATTGAGATTTCCCAATTTCACTCCCCTCTACCCACATGCAATCTTCAACTTGAGCTACTAATAATAAGGCTTTTTAGTCTCCAAAGTGCTTTTGCTAACATTATTTCATGTGAACCTCAAGAAAACCATATGAGGTAGGTAGGAAAGGGTTAACAATCTGAACTTTATGCATAAATGAGACTGAGCAACAGGCAGTTTAGTGACAGCCCAAGTTCACATGGGCAAAAAGTGTCACGCTGGGACTGGAGACAGGTGATACTGGCACAGTGCCCATATTTTACACTCTGCTGATCTGTGCATGCACATTCTCTCAAAAAAGGCAAATGTCACAGGCTGGCATTCCAGCCAAAACTCACAGTGAGAAAGGATTTCTCCTCGACATCGACATGAGCAGGAAAGGGGAGAGAAAAGAATGGAGAGAGAAAAAGAAGGAATAATATATGCTGAGCTTGTAGAGAGGGAGAGTGATGTGCTCTTTAAGGTTCGCCCTCATCCTGGCTCCAACCATGCCAACAGAGACATAAGAGGACCCAGCAGAGCACAGATACCGTAGCCTCCCGTGAACACAGTCTCCCTCCTGTGACTCCATGTTGAGCTGGCAGTCGCGGGATCAGATCAGATCACCTGTTACCACTCTCTGATGCTCTGTCAGATATGTTTGCAATACACAAAGTTTCTGTGAATCTGGGGAAATCCTACTTTAGGCTTCCATTGACTTGGAAAAGGCACCAGCCAGTGACTGCTGTTTCTGGGCCTCCTCTGCAGCTAAACTGGTCCCTCGCTACTCCACAAGGACACCCCCACAGATTGATCTTCCTCACAACCCACACCTGCCAGAAGTGCTCTCTGTAGATCTGAGTCCTCCCTGAAATCTAACCTGTCCTTCAAGGCCTACCTCCTCCAAGAAGCTTGAGTGTCTCGACCCTCAGGGATTTTTTTTTTTCCTTTTTGTCTTTTTTCGTGACCGGCAACAGATCGCAACCCTCAGTGTCGCGCCCGCACCTTGCTCAGCCAGCGAGCAGCCGGTCTGTATGTGGGATCCGAACCCTCGGCGGGAGCACCACCGCACTCCCAAGCAGCACACCGAACCCTCGGCGGGAGCGCCACTGCTCCCAAGCGGCGCACTGTAGCAGTGCGCCACCGGGCCGGCCCACCCTCAGGGATTTTTCCAGCAGCTAAATTCCTGCAGCCACTATGACTGAGACCTCTGATTTAACAATGAACATGTGCTCTGGCATTTGCATTCATTTCTTTTTTTCTTTTTTTTTGTCCTTTTTGAGCCAGTGAGCGCTGTGAGCGCACCGGTCATCCCTATATAGGATCCGAACCCTGGCGGGAGCGCTGCTGCACTCCCAGCGCCGCACTCTCCCGAATGCGCCACGGGCTCGGCCCTTGCATTCATTTCTGAATATAATTCTTTGTCTCCCAATGAGACAGCAAGCTCCCTGCACTCAAAGCTGGAATCTTATACTTCATTGAACCCACCGGCACCTGCCTATAGTAGGTCCAGACATATTTATTGATGATTTTTCCAGGAAAGAGTGGGCAAAGCTGGAGTTAAACATAGCAAGTTGTTCCAAAGAGAAAAAGTGGGTGGGCGGAGAGTAAATCATCTTCCTGCATTTGACGTTGTCAGTGTTGTTTTAAGATCCCCGTGGAGTCAGCATTTTTGGTGTTAAAATCAGCATAAGGTAAGAGAATAAATAGGAATTTTCCTTTGTGCTCTTTTAGTAACAATGAAGATAAAATAATACCTGTTGAATGAACAAAAAGCCCAGCTCCCTGTGATACAAGAATGGGCAAGTCACACCTCACCTGTAACAGTTTCAAATTTAATCCTATTACTGCGCAAAGCTTATCTATCACTGCTTATGAGGACCCCTTTCTCTGGAGTCCCCAGGCAATCCACACGCCCAGGCAGGCTCCTGGCACCTCCTTTGTTCACTGTGGCAGGTCCCGGCACCCCCACCGCCCTCCTCTCCAAGAGTTGTCACCCCCTAACCAGACTGTTGGGCTCTCCCTCCAAGATTGGTTCTGGGAAGACGGTCTCCTGTGTCCATCCTTCCTTGCTGCTCTGGAAAACAAGCTTGCAGACCCTCTTCATTTTAAGACTTTCAAGTCCACCATTATGAGAGAAAAGACAAGATTTCAGAGGCAAACATGGGCAAGTTATATACAAGGGTAAACATCTTAGAGTCCTGGAACTTGGTTGACAGCATCTGACTACCTGGTGGAAGTGATAACTGGAAATTTCTTTCATACCAATGTTGGGGCTCACCCAGACGTTTTCTTCCTGCTGATCTTTGCCGCCTTGCTGCGAATGCCCCAACCCCACCCCTTCGCACAGGGGTCCGTCATCTTCTCCCCACATGGACCTAGCAACAAGGGGCATCTTAGCAGCATGATCGAACCCTAATTTCAAGTGGTTTATTTCACTTCTGAGCCCCTGGAAACTAGGCAAACTCTATTTTATGAAACCTCAATCTCACATCAGATTCTTCCGTAATGGACACTTTCCTACGGCTCCTCAGTGATTTTTTCTCTCTCTCTCTCTTTAAATATAATTGAGTTTGTTTATTTTTGAATATGTTACTTTTCTACGTAGTTCAATATTCTAAAGGCTCTAAAGTTTCAGTGAAAAAATCTCCCCCACCTCACTCCCTAGCCTCTCCGTTCCCTTCCTCATGGGCAACTGACGGTACCAGCTTTTGTGTACCCTTCCAGAGGTACTGTATACATATGCAAGCAAATGTACACAAAAATGCAAATATTTTTTCACCCTGTCCTTTTTACAGAATTGGTTGCATACTGTAAACACCATCACTTTTTGTTCACTGTACTGGTACATGTGAGATTGTGTATGGGGGTGTGTGTAGGATTGTTACAAATCAGTACCTAAAGAACTTCCTCAGCCTTGCAATGGTTGTATAACAGTCCATTTGTCAATGAGCCACACTGATGGGTTTTGGGGCTGCTGTCAGTGGTTTGCTCTTACAAGCAGTGCTGATCTAAATGATCTTCACATACGTGCAGGTCTCTCTGCTGTAGCTGTGTTTTCTGGGGGCTAATGGTGCTGAAAGCCGTGCGATCGACCGGTATTCCTAGTACTAGAGCATAATCACAAGCAGCGTTCCCTGTCCCTATGGAGAGGGATGGAACCAGGTCATTTAAATCTATTTTTCTCATCAGTTGGACTCACTGTTCCTTTTTTAGAGATATTAATCCAATAATGACCCTACATATTGTTATCGTGTCTTCCAATGGAAGGAAACAGGAGAAAAGAAACGGAGGGCCATGCTTTCCACACTGGAGACCTCCGGGGTTCTGTTCTTGGCCCGCATCCTGTGCAATCAGCACATAATCGTCCATGGCTGGACCTAATCTTCTCTGCCTGCTCTCCCTCCTGAGCTCCAGGCTCATACATCACCCTCCTCTGAATATGTCTGCTTCCAGTCCAGCAGGTACCTCAAATCTAACATGTCCTGCTGTGTTTCAGCCTAATGGAGAGTGGCATGAACATTAGTACAATTGCTGACTACAGAGACCTGGGAGTTATCCCAGGACCGGGCAGCTTCCCCTCTAGCCCATGAGCTCCTTGAGGGCAGGGACTGTATTTTATGAGGGTGGTGCCCCCAGTGCCTCATCCAGTGCCTGCAAAATACTTGTAAACAAACAAACATACCTACAATTTCTCCTTCTCTTTATTTCAGGCAATGGCTGAAATAACCTCCAGGTGGACTTTGAAGCGGGGGTAGAAGATTCCTATCTTCAGGCTGGAGGTGGTTTAATCGGGCACAGAGAAGTGAGTAAGAATGCCAGGAGCCCACTGAGCCTGAGGAACCCAAGAAAGAGCAGTGCCCCAGGGAGACTGAGGCCCGAGAAGAGATATAAACAGGAAACAACCTCATGTACCAGCTTGTATACAGACTGCGCTTTTCACTTCCTAATGATTTGCGTGTGTGTTCTCCATCCATGTTATTTGCAGACATTTGCAAATGAACATTGATATGAATGGCACCACTACATAAACCCGCAGATCAGTCAAGAGAACACATTAGGTAGAGCAGTACGTGGATGTGGAAAATAGATACACATAGCAACAACATGACAGCACCTGCAGTGTGTCAGCTACTCTTCCAGGAACACCAGCAACAACTGCAAATACCTGACTGCCAGGCGCTGTGCTAAGGGACACACACGTATTGTTTCATTTAATCTTCCTAACAAGCCTGTGATGTTGTAAAGAAAGATAAAGAAGGTGACAATCTTCACTTTGTAGAACAACCCCACCCACCTGCTTCTTTTTTTTTTTTTTTTTTTTATCTA